CTGTGCAAGAGGCAGGCATGCAGAGGGTGTGGGTGTAGAGGACCCCCCCTCACTTCACCCCCAGGGCAGGTAGACTGCATAAAAAAAGGAATTGAGGAAGGACTGGCTGCTGGTTCTTCGGAGGAGCTCCGGTCTTCGCCTTCAGCTCGGGTCGTCTCCTGGCTTCTGGTGCAGACTGTTGGGCTTCCGTCTGGACTCTTCAGCCTTCTGGTATTGGCTCTCTGGACTTCGTGGTAGATTCTTCCGCATTCCGTGGCAGACCCACCAGCCTCCTGATACGGACTTGCACGGACACTGCAGCAAGCTCCAGGCCCGGGGCTGGGCTCTTCAGTCTCCACGCTTCCTCATCCAGCTCTGTGGCTGACCACTGTAAGCCGAACTAGTAATTTCTTGCGCATTTGTACATCTTGTGTTATATCTGTTTCTCTGGTAAACCCCGACTGATACACAGCTAAAGAGGCCGGGGGGTTCCTTTTTCCCTTGAGGATGCTGAGGAGCCTGTGTGTTGCCCCTGGGTTTGATTCCCCAGCACAGGGGCTGTGAGAGGTGCCACTCTGCTCCCCGTCGGGATGCAGCGCCACCTAGCGGCTCCTTGTGGCACCGCAGCCGAAACAACGCGGGGCCTGCAAGGAGCCAAGAAGGCACCGCCTTGCGGGTGAAGACTTGGGAGCTCAGGGCGGCTCACCCGGGGTGCTAGCCGGGTCCCCAAAGCAGCCGGACAGACCCAGGATCCCCCTACAATCTAATCCACTTTCTTTTTTTTTTTTTTTACAGGGCTGGGGATTGAACCCAGGACCTTTGCACTGAGCTCCATCCCCAGCCCTGTTGGGCTTTTATTTTGGGACAGGGTCCCCTTAAGCTGCTCAGCTGGGACTTGAACTTTCACCCTTCCCGCCTCAGCCTCCCAGAGTACTGCGGTTACACGCGTGCGCCACCACGCCCCCACCCTCTCTGTTCGTAGCTCCTCCTTTTGCACACGCCTGCCCGTGCACGTGTGCTCAGGGAGCTTGCCGTGACGGAAGGGAAGCTTCGAGAAGATGCCCCGCCCGGTAGTCCGCGACCGGTGCTCGCACAGCCTGCGCCGCCCGCACCTCGCGCGCCTCGGCCTTCCAACGCCGGCCGGGACGGCAGCGCCCCCTGGCGGCCCGGGCCCCGCGGGGAGGAGCGGGGGTGCTGGCGGCGCGGAGGAGGGGGAGCCGCCGGGCTGAGCCGCAGGGCGGTGACGTCCAAGGACCAGACACCCGCCCGCGGGGCTGAGTGATTCTCCGAGAGGAGCCTGGGGCGCGGGGGCGCGTCTGTCTCGCGTGTAAAAGAACAAGCTGCTCGATGGGGGTGCGAGGAGACCCTGGCCCAGGATTAAGCGCTCACCAGCTGGGGCTCCCTGCCCAGGCCCCGCCCCGTCCAGCCCCCGCCCCATTCCTGACCCTGAGCCGCCCGCTCCCTGGCCCTGACCCTGACCCTGGCCCTGACCCTGACCCTGACCCTGG